CTGACCTGGAGAATTCCATGGACTACGGTCCATGGGGTCACAAAGAGTCAGACATGACTGAGTGACTTTCACTTCACTTCATTCGATAGCCCACTTCCTTCCCACCCTATAGACAGCTCTGTAATGGGTTTAATACATACCTTTGTCTTTGTGTTCTTGCAAAATGTATATTGCTTTGTGATCACATATTTTAAATTTGCATAAGTGTTTTGTATGTATAACCTATTCTGACTTTTAAAAATCAATACTATTTTTAATTTAAGATCCATCCATGTTATTGAGTATACACCTAATCCATTGTTCCCAACTGCTATGTGTAGTACTCATGATAAACATTTTACATATTTACTTTTCGAATGCAGAAACTCAGATCATCTCCACTCCTCTGCATCACAAATAACGCTGGAATGAACAGTCTAGTTCTTGACTCTTTACAAGCTTGTGTGGGAATTTCATTGCACTATAGACTCAGGAGCAGATTTGCTGGGTCGTTAGGTACACATATACAGTATTGGACTATGGAGCCACCATACTTGTCTCTGGAATGGTTTCACCAGTCTTTATTCCCATCATGAAGAGCTCCTAGTTCCCCAACAAAGCTCGTTATTATTCTTGAATTTTTGCTATTTGACTAGATGTGAAGCAATATCTCATTGTTCATTTCTATTTTTTCTCATTATAATTTAGTTTAAACATTTCTTCATACGCTTGCTACTCTCCTGAATTGCCTCTTCTGTGTATTGCCTACTCATATCCCTTCTCATTTTCAAAATGGAAGCTGTTCTACTTTTAGCAAATATTCGGGAGTTCTTTGTGTTTTTCTTGATCAAGAATTAGTAAACAATGGCCCACAGACCAAATTTAGCACATCTCCAGTTTTTGTAAATAAAGTTTTGTTAGAACACAGTCACACCCATTCACTTATCATCTATTGTTGCTTTTCTACTACCAGAGTAGAGATGAACAGTTGTATCAAAGATCATCTGTTCTACTAAGTTGACTTAAATTTTCACTACTTGGTCCTTTACAGGAAGTTTATCAAATCCTGTCCTAGTTAAGAATCTCTTATTGACGTCAGACATGACAAACCTCTTTTCCCATTTTGTCATCTTTGAACTTTGTCTATACAGTCCTTTATTGAACAACAACAAAAAAATCTTGATTTAAAAAAAAAATCTTGATTTAATGTAATCAAATCCACTGATATTTAATTTTTTACCTCAGGTTACACTTTTTTGAAGTTTAAAAAATGATTTCTGTTCTGCCTCTAGGTTACAAAAATCCCTTCCTACTTTTTTTTTCCTATTAAATTCATACTTTTACCTTTTATGTTTAGGTCTTTAACCCATTTGGAACTCACCTTTAGATACAGGGTTAAATAGATTTCCAGCATTTTTCTCCATATAGTGAGACAATTTATCAAAAACTATCTACTAAACAATCCAATTAGCCTTTGTGCCAGTTTTCAATATATTGCCTCATAGTTCCAAATCTACCCCTCCTTGCCTGCTCAGCAAAAATTATGATGATCCCTTTAAACATTTCTCCATTCTCTATTAACATCTGGCATAATGTTAAGCTAGTCAGTAGAGGATGCCAGGGGAATACTAGAGGAAAAAAGAGATTTTTCCTGCTTCCTTCTCTTACCAGGCTCTTGCAGTACGCAATCTCTGTGACACCGGGTTTGGGGCACATAACTTCTCCAGCACCTGGTTCCTGGATTGTGCAGCAGCCCACAGTGCCCAGCGAGCAGCTTCCCCTGGCATCTTCTAAGGTAGATTTCCAGCAAAATCCACCGGTGCAACTTCATCATCCAGTGAAGAGGACACTACTTTGTCAACACATTCTGGGTTTCAGTTTGGAGGGCAAGGAATACTCTTCTGCAAGCATTGCCCTAGAAAAAGTAGCTTTTCCTGACAGTTGAGATTCTTGTATTCTTTAGGTGCTCTCTATTTCTTACTACTCAATCTCCTGTAATTTCATCCCCTGATATAGTTACTAGATCTTTATATTAAATTTTTCCTGTTCATAATAATGTATGGTTTCTGTCTTGTGGTGGGACCCTATCTGCCACAGTCATATTCTCATTTATTTGTGCTATATTTTTATCATATATTAAATTCACATATTTATACCTAGGCCTATCTCTGAGATCTAGTTTTAATGGTCTGATTTAATCTTAAATGATATAACAGATGCAAAATACCTGGCCATTATCTATCATAGAGTAGGAACTCATTAAATTATATTAATCATGGTAGAGATTACCTATCTTTGCCCTCAAAGAGTACCCACCTAAGACCAACAATCTGACTTTGATTTAATTTTGTGGGCTGGAAATGGGGAGTGAGGTCTAGTAGAGGACAGTGGCTTATTCCTCAGTTCAATCAATTTATGAATGAATGAAAATCCAGAAATCACTGGATTTTCCTGACTTTAAGCCACTGTTTTAGCCATCATCTATTATTTAAATTCATGAAGACATTTATTCCCACAAGGTTCCTGATAGGTCTATTCTATAATTTTAAAAATTTCTTAAACATAATAATTATAAGTCTAGATAATGTGGCCTCATATAGGGATTCAAGGGAATACAATATATTCCAAGTATACATAGTGCTTTGTTTCTTTTACATTCTCATCCCAAACAGGAAGTTTCTCTTACTAAGTACAACTGAGCTATAAAGCAAAATCTAAACAAACAGGAAAACATGTCCTATTCTTAGAAGGAAGGACTTAAAATGTCCAATCTACCAAAGTTTAATACAGTTATAATTATAAACAATATTTTTTGAAATGGACAAAACAATCTTTAAGTTGACTTTGTAGATAGTCTCTACAGATGAAAGTGATCAATTCCATCTTTTGTTGATGGGAGTTATCTCTCCCCTTAAACCTGGACTGGACTTAATGACTCAATCAGTAGCATAGAAGGCTGACTTACTTAATCAATAGAATGCAAAGAAAGTATCATTTTAGGATTTCCAGTGTTAGATCATAAGAAATATTCCAGCTTCCCTGTGGATCTCTTGGAATGTTTTCTCTTCAAACACTTCCCCTTAGAACCCAGACACCATGGTGTGAGAATCCCAAGCTACATGGCTAGGTCATCTTATAGGCACTCTGATTGACAGCCCAAATAAGCTCCCAGTAGAGAGCCACCATGAGTTCCCAGTTATGTGAATGAGCCATCCTTGACTGGCCACATCTAGCTCAGTCAAGCCTTCAGGTGGCTCCGGCCCCAGTAATCACTTGAGAGAACTGCCCAACTGAGGACTGTCCAGCTGGGCCCAGACAACCCACGGGAGCATGAAAGATAGCAAATTTTTGTTTTAATTTACTAAATGTTAGTGTGGTTTGTCATGCAGTAATAGAAAACTGGAACAGAAATTGATAACAAAAGTGTCATCCTTCTATGACAAAAACCTAAGACGTGGCAATGGCTTGGGACCACGAGGTTTTTGGTAGCTGAAAGGGCCTCAGGGAGACCATTAGAGAAGATTTGAAGGAGAGAAAGGAAACAGTGATTGGAAGTCAGAGAAAAGGTAACTCCTGTTATGTAGCAGCAAAAAGTTCAGAAGCGGTAAAACACAAAATAGAAAATGTAGTGAATTTGGGTGAAATTGGCTAAGGAGGTTTCTAGGTAGACTGTCCCAAGCCTGACTGGTTTATTTTAGCTGTCACTGACAAGCTACAGTGATAAGCTGTCAATGATAAGCTAAGAGAGAGATAAGTTAAGAGGGAACTAATCAGCTTTTTAGAAAAATTTGGATGATATATGAAGGACACAGGACAGTTTTTCTGCCATTAAAAATTATCAAAAGGGGACTTCCCTGGTGGTCCAGTGGCTAAGACTCTGAGCTCCCAATGCAGGTGGCCTGGGTTCTATCCCTGGTCAGGGAACTAGATCCCACATGCCACAGCTAAAGAACCCGCATGCTTCACTGAAGACAGAAATCACACATGCTGCAACTGAGACCTGGCAAACCAAATTAATTAATTAATTTAAAAAAATTAAAAAGAAGAATTTTAAATTAAAATTTAAAAAGAAGAATACTCATCAAATAAAGAGGAAGTCAAGAGTGCATCTGTAAGACTCTCTGTTAAGACTTTAGAAAGTTTAAGTACCTATTTTTTCTAAGTACCTATTTTATAGCTTCTCTCAAGTAAATGAAATCAATTCTAAGAATGGTAGAATGCCTCTAAAACATTTTTTTTTTTAACTAGACAAGAGAGTTTTTAAGAATCTTAAGGGTGTTTCCTATAGCATACTGAATCTCAGACCAAGGTATCTTGAAGACATTTGTGGATGTGACTTTTGAGAACCTAAATAAGATTCTCAGAAAACACAAATGTTCAGAACTGTATTTTTAGAAATAGCATCAGCTTCAAGTAAAGAGTACAGTTCAAAATGAAAAGAGCCCTTGAAACAACCAACTTCCTGTGGGCAAGAAGCAGGATGTGAAGGCTAACATATGAGCCACTTTTGAGGGAAAAGGAAGGATGACTCAATGTGAGAACCAAGAGTCCAGAAGGCAGAGCTTAAAGCTACAGAGAACCACTCCCCAGAAGCAGGCATGCATGAGTGCTCGGTCACTTTCTGCGACCCCATGGACTGTAACCTGCCAGGATCCTCTGTCCATGGGATTTTTCAGACAAGAGTACTGGAGTGGGTTGCCATTTCCTCCTCCACACAGAAGCAGGACTGGGTCCCAATCAAGGAAATGGAAGAATGTACCTGACTGGGATTTCAGAACTATGGAACACTCATGTGTCTCCTGTTCCTGCCTTCTGAACAGAAGTTTCTTTTTTTTAAACAGAAATATTTATTGCATTTGTCTTATCCCCATAACACCACTATCTGCTGTGTTTGTGTTGCAGACAACTTGATTATTTTTTCATAGATATTCAGATGAAGAGGAACCATGCCCAAAGAGACTCATCTATAGCTAGACCTCATTTAGATGATGAGATCCTTTTTGAGCTAATGCTGTAATGAGATGAAATTTTGGGAATCGCGGGAAGAGGGTTCACATTCAATGGACGTGAATTGTGTTGTCCAAAGGGTGGGTTGTGGTAAGTAGTCTTTAAATTTGTTACACCACCAATCTCTTCTGTAGTTTCTTTTTACTCCAAAATTTTTGTGTGCCTTCTCTTCATCATTTCACCAAAGATTTATCTATTTTGTTATTCTTCTCAAGGAATCAACTTTTGGCTATGTCAGTCTTTGAAAATCACATATATTTGCTTTTTGCTTAGTTTCTCCTCTTACTTTTATTAACTCTTTACTTCCACTTTCTTTTGGTTAGTTCTGTTGTTCTTTGTCTAACTTTCTCTCCCTTTTTTTGGCCACACCCTGTGGCTTGTGGGAACTCAGTTCCCCAACCAGGGACAATGAAAGCCCAGAATTCGAATCAATAGACCACCAGGGAATGAACTCTGCCTAACTTCTTGACTTAAACATTTAGCTCTTTAAGTTGTACCTTATCTTCTTTTCTAACATTAGTACTCAAGGCTTTGCATGAAATATATCCTACAAGTATCAATGTATAGTATTTTTTTGTCATTTCATTCTAAAAGCATTTTCTGATTTCTTATCTAATGTCTTTGATGAGTTTAGCAGCATGTTTAAAATTTTCCAAACAAACAGGGCATTTTTAGTTGTTGCTGTTATTGTCCTCTAATTATGATTTAGACACCCAATGTGGTAAGTATAATACTGATTCTTTGGTATTTGAGATTTGTTTTTCAACAAGGCTAGAGAATGGTCTAGAGTATGGTTAATATTTACAGAAGCTCCATGCCTATGATCAATGAAAATATATACTCTCTAATATTAAGTAAATTTTCTAAGTAAGTTATATTAAATCACCCCTTAAAACTGTGTTCCACTATTTAAAATGATGCTCCTTTGGATGGACATGCTGCTCTATTTAAAATGGGTAATCTACTGTATAGCATAGGGAACTCTGCTCGATGTTTTGTGGTAGCCTGGATGGGAGGGGAGTTTGTGGGAAAATGGTCACATGTCACTTTGCTGTCCACCTGAAACTATCACAACATTGTTAATCAGCTATATGCCAATATAAAATAAGAAGCTAAAAAAAACACAACTGTGTCTTAGTCTTGGGTCCCCCTGTCACAATCATATGCCATTTGTGACATCTTTTGCAGGTGTCATTCCAATTTTCCTTTTTTTGTTAATATGACATAAAATACTCCAAACTTTTATAGTGTAGGCAGTATGTTTGCTATTAAACTATTAATTTATGGAGTTTTATACCTAATAGTTGATTAATATTTTAAGATACTGGTATTTTATATCCTTTTTCTTTTTTTCTTTGGATGCACCATGTAGCTTGTAGGATCTTAGTTCCCCAACTAGGGATTGAACCCGGGTCCCCTGCAGTGGAAGTCCAGAGTCCTAACTACTGAACCACCAGGGAATTCCCCTGATATCCTCTGTATATGAAACAATTGACTCCAATTTTAAGCTGGAATGTCATTGCAAAATTGTTCAGAAAATTATTACAACCATGTAATTTATAGGGATTTTCAATACTTAGATTAAGAATTATGTGCAAACTGGTCACAGTCTATGTTCTGATCATCAAACAAAAATAATTTTTAAATGGTTATAAAAAAGTTTATGTTAGCATAGAAAAAGATTGAATTCAGACACACATTTCAGCATACATGAAAATTTTAGGAATGAAAAAACAGTCATCCTTCCTCAGGCAGGAAAGTATAGGTGATTTAATAAATGGCACAATTAGCCATCCTTAAGAAAAAAAAATAAGATTAGACTCCCAAACTCACTGCATTCGTAAACAAAGCCTGGATGCATGAAACTTCAAAGATAAGGAAAAAATTTTAATAATATTTTGGAGTCTAAACATATAATTTAAGATTTAGAAAGATCTTTCATTTACTTTTATTTTATTGAAGTATAGTTGATTTAAAATGTGTTGATTTCTCTGTACAACAAAGTGTTTCAGTTATGAATATATATGTATACTTTTCATATTCTTTTCTATTATGGTTTATCACAAGATATTGAATATAATTTCCTGTGTTGTGCTCGACAGTAGGACCCTGTTCTTCTTTATCCATTCTTTATATTAATATAATAGTTTGCATCTGCTAATCTCAAACTCCCAAACCTCCCCTCTCCCTCCTTCTCCTGTCCCCTCAGCATGGCAACCAAAGTCTGCTTTCTATGTCTGTGAGTAGAAAGACCTTTTAAATAGGAGAAAAATTCAGAAGATCAAGAAAAAGTTAGGTTTACTATAGCTCATAAAAAATATTTTTTTTAATGTGAAAAGATAACAAAACTAAAAAGTAGATTGAAAAAATGTTTGCAATGCTTGAAATTGAATAAGGATTAATACCTGCAATATACAATAAGAGTCTATAAATTACATCTTTTAAAAAGACAACTCCACGCTCTGTAGCAATGGAGGCTATATAGTTCATCCCATTAACCTCCCTCTTTTGTCCGCCCTCAGGAAGAGGGGCCTTGGAGGAGAAGCTGCTTTCCAAAGCTGTGTGGAAGAGTGGATCCTTGAGCTGTGCAGGGAACAGACTACGTCAGCAAAGGATGGACTATGTCCATGACCTCTTCAGTTCGGTTCAATTCAGTCCAGTCGCTCAGTCATGTCATGATCTCTTAGATCTATATTCAAATAAAGAGCGGCTGGACTTCCCAGTGGTCCAGAGGTTGAGAATCCACCTGCCAATGCAGGGAACGTGAGTTTGATCCCTGGTCCAGAAGGATCCCACATGCCAGGGAACTAAAAAAAAAAATCTCCTGCACCACAGCTAGTGAAGCTCGTGCTTCAAAGCCCATGCTCTGCAACAAGAGAAGCCACCACAGTGAGAAGCCCTCACACCGCAGCTAGAGAATAGCCCCCACTCATTGCAATTAGAGAAAGCCCATGTGCAGCAACGAAGACCCAGTGCAGCCATACTGCTGTGGAGTGTAGGTGGCTGACAGCTTCCAACTGCAATACTACTGGGGTTTGCCACAATATTCATGCCAAGGTGCAGTCTCCCTGGGTTATTCTTGGTCCGTGGCTGAGCCCAGTAGGCCTAGCCCTGGGCCATTAGGGCCTCACGTAGGGTTCTGCTAATGCAAAATCAGCCTGGTCAGGGCTTTCTCAGTGCTGTCTGCACTGCCCTCTGAGGCTCTTAGCCACTCCTCCTTTTATGGAGTGATGTGAAGGTTCTCCCTGCCTACTCTGGCTTCTCATTTTTATCTTTTGTAGGCGTTTATCCTTGAACTTCCAATCCCATCTTTGGCATCTGCTTGCTAGAGGATTCAAATTTAGTTTGGGGTGATTCAGTGTGCAGCAATACATAACAAAACAGCTAGATGTGGGTGCTACCATAACAAAAGCCCAAAACATGTGGCGCTGGTTTTGAAACTGCCTGGCATGGGCGGGAAGGACCTGAAGGGCAAAGTCTTTCAAAGAGCTGCAGTGAGAGTGCAAACTAAAACCTAAAGGACCTGAAGAGAATTGTTGGAGGACACAAAGGACAGAGAGGAAAGGGGGTCCTTTCCCAGAAAGTTTGGCAACACTGTCACATGAAGTAATACAGAAAATAAGAAATGTCTTTGTTGAACTCAAGGAGCCAACCAAGGATATTTCTAGGCAGAATACTGAAGGTGTTACCTGTTTTCTACACATTGCCTGTGATGAAACATGAAAAGAGACAGATAAACTGAAAAATAAACTTAACTGTAAAGGAGACTGGGGCTTCCCAGGTGGCACAGTGGTAAAGAATCTGCTTGCCAATGCAAGATACTTGGGTTTCAATACCTGGGTCAGGAAGATTCACTGGAGGAAGAAGTGACAACCCACTCCAGTATTTCTTGCCTAGAAAATTCCATGGACAGAGCCTGGTGGGCTACAATCCTTTGAGTCACAAAGAGTTGAACACGACTGAGTACCCGCAGAGAGCAAAGCCTAAAGGAGACCACATATGGTATGATTTCATTTATATGAAATGCCCAGAACAGGCAAATCTACAGAAACAGAAAGGAGATTAGTGGTTGCTATAGCTGGACACTGAGGACTGTGGGGAAATGAGGAATGACTGCTAGTGGGTATGGGGTTATTTTGGGGGGTGATGAATGTGTTCTAAAACTCATAGTGGTGATGGTTGTAAAAACTCTATGAGTGTACTAAAAACCATTGGATTGTATACTTTAAATGAATGAATTGTATGGAATGTGAACTACATCTTAATAAAAGCCTCCCTGAATACTTAGGACCAGGACTTGGACTCAAATTTAAAATTGGTTTTCATTGTTGGCATCTCCAGATGGCAAATTATTCTAAAATTAAGAAGTATCTCTTGGGAATTCCCTGGTGGTCCAGTGGTTAGGACTCTGGTACTTTCACTGCCATGGCCTGGGTTCAATCCCTGATCAGGGAACTCAGCTGTTGCAAACCACGAGGTGTGAGGGTACAGAAAAAGTGTCTCTTTGCAAAAATAAAATCCAAGACACTATTAGGAAAACATTATCTAAAAATGAAATTAAAGGTTAACACTTCAAAATGATCTAAGGAGGTGTCCAACAAAACCTGTCAGATAGAAAGAAGGCTCCCCAGATATCTTAAGGATATTCACTCACAGTAGTCTCTTAGTGAGCCCAAGGTAGAGAAGAGCTGATCTCAAAGAGTTACGGCTTTTGTTGAAAGGAGTGGGATAAAAATCGATGCATTAAAACCCCACAAAGCCTTAAAGGGAACTGCCCCGCCAGAAGAGTTATCAGCTTAGACTAAGGCACAAAATGAAAACAGGCCTTTGCAACCCTTTCATAGGCAAGAAGCAGGCTGAGAAGACTACTTGGTTGCAAACTCAGTTTTTCTTTTGGGAAAGGAAGGATGATTCAGAGGGTGGAAACAAGAACCCAGACACTGGAGCCAGAAACCACAGTGAGCAAGAATGACTCCCAGGCAGTTAAGCAAAGCTCTAATCCAACAAGCATTTCAGAATTGGCTCTGTTGTGTACCTCCTTCTTTCCCTCTTTTTGAGGTTATCTGATGCCTTTCCCAGTATGGTATGAACAATGTATGTAGGGAAGAGATAACTTGCCTCTTTAGTTTACAGATCTGCTATATAGAGAAGGGGTGTGAGGGAGAGACCAATTAGGAGATAAATTCAGAAGCCCTTAAGATAGCCCAAGAAAAAAAAAAAAAAGATAGCCCAAGCAAGAGATAGTGGTGGTTTTGAGTAGGCAGCAGTGGAAAAAGTGATTAAGTGGTGAGTTCAATGTATTTTGAAATCAGAGCCAACAGGCTTTAAGACATGAGAAGAAAAGAAGAGTTGACTATGAAGCCCTTGAAGAACTGGGTGAATGAATGTCCCACTCATACCCCTTTTGTCTGCCTCCTTTCAGAGCAGAATTGTCCAGAATGACCTACACTGTTGTCTCCATTTTCTCACCTCCCCCTTTGTCATCCCACTCCTAGTTAATCTCTGCCTACTACCTCTGCAAAATTGCTGTTGACAATATTATCAGTGACCACTGTATTTCTAAATCCAATGGACACTTTCCCATCCTCTTTTATTTTTTTTACTTTAAAAAATTTACATTGGAGTATAGCTGATTGACAATATTGTGTTAGTTTCAGGTGTACAGCAAAGTGAATCCATTATACATATATATACACCCACTATTTTTTAGATTCTTTTCCCAAATAGACCATTATACAGTACTGAGTAGAGTTGCCCATGCTATATAGCAGGTCCTTATTATTACCTATTTTATATGTAGTGTCCCAATTCCAATCTTCCAATTTATCCCTTGCCCCTTATCCCCTGGAAACCATAAGTTTATTTTCTACATCTGTAACTTTATTTCTATTTTGTCGATAAATTCATTTGTACCATGCTTTTTTCGGATTCCACATACAACTTATCCATAATTTTTATCTTTCTCTGACTTACTTCACTCAGTATGATAACCTCTATGTCCATCCATGTTGCTGCAAATTGCATTATTTTGCAACTATTTTTATGATCACACAGACCACAGCTTGTCTAATACAATGAAACTAAGCCATGCCATGTGGGGCCACCCAAGAAGGCTGGGTCATGGTGGAGAGATCTGACAGAATGTGGTCGACTGGAGAAGGGAATGGCAAGCCACTTCAATATTCTTGCCTTGAGAACCCCATGAACAATATGAAAAGGCAAAAAGATAGGACACTGAAAGATGAACTCCCCAGGTCGGTATTTGCCCAATATGCTACTGGAGATCAGTGGAGAAATAACTCCAGAAAGAATGAAGGGATGGAGCCAAAGCAAAAACAACACCCAGTTGTGGATGTGACTGGTGATAGAAGCAAGGTCCGATGCTGTAAAGAGCAATATTGCATAGGAACCTGGAATGTTAGGTCCATCAATCAAGGCAAATTGGAAGAGGTCAACAAGAAGATGGCAAGAGTAAACATTGACATTCTAGGAATCAGCAAACTAAAATGGACTGGGATGGGTGAATTTAACTCGGATGACCGTTATATCTACTGCTGTGGGCAGGAATCCCTTAAAAGAAATGGAGTAGCCATCACAGTCAACAAAAGAGTCCAAAATGCAGTACTTGGATGCAATCTCAAAAACAACAGAATGATCTCTGTTCATTTCCAAGGCAAACCATTCAATATCATGGTAATCCAAGTCTATGCCCTGACCAATAATGCTGAAGAAGCTGAAGTTGAATGGTTCTATGAAGACCCACAAGACTTTTAGAACTAACACCCAAAAAAGATGTCCTTTTCATTATAGGGGACTGGAATGCAAAAGTAGGAAGTCAAGAAACACCTGGAGTAACAGGCAAATTTGGCCTTGGAGTACAGAACGAAGCAAGGCAAAGGCTAATAGAGCTTTGCCAAGAGAACATGCTGGTCATAGCGAACACCCTCTTCCAACAACACAAGAGAAGACTCTACACATGGACACCACCAGATGGCCAACACTGAAATCAGATTGATTATATTCTTTGCAGCCAAAGATGGAGAAGTTCTATACAGTCAGCAAAAACAAGACCGGGAGCTGACTGTGGCTCAGATCATGAACTCCTTTTTGCTAAATTCAGACTTAAATTGAAGAAAGTTGGGAAAACCACTAAACCATTCAGGTATGACCTAAATCAAATCCCTTATGACTATACAGTGGAAGTGAGAAATAGATTTAAGGGATTAGATCTGATAGACAGAGTGCCGGATGAACTATGGACAGAAGTTTGTGACATTGTACAGGAGACAAGGATCAAGACCATCCCCAAGAAAAAGAAATGCAAAAAGGCAAAATGGCTCTCTGAGGAGTCCTTACAAATAGCTGTGAAAAGAAGAGAAGGGAAAAGCAAAGGAGAAAAGGAAAGATACACCTATTTGAATGCAGAGTTCCAAAGAATAGCAAGGAGAGATAAGAAAGCCTTCCTCAGTGATCAGTGCAAAGAAATAGAGGAAAATAATAGAAAGGGAAAGACTAGATATCTCTTTAAGAAAATTAGAGATCCCAAGGGAACATTTCATGTAAAGATGGGCTCAATAAAGGACAGAAATGGTATGGACCTAACAGAACCAGAAGATATTAAGAAGAGGTGGCAAGAATATACAGAACTGTACAAAAAAGATCTTCATGACCCAGATAATCATGATGATAGATCACTCAGAGCCAGACATCCTGGAATGGGAAGTCAAGTGGTCTCAGGAAGCATCACTACGGACAAAGCTAGTGGAG